GCTGCAACAAAGACCCAGTGAAACAAAAATAGAGAAAGAAGTACAAATTAAAACATTTAAAAAAAGATTTCTGGTCCTATGGAACTTAGACTCTCTTGAAAGGAGAAAGGCCTGCATGCATGCTAAGTCACTCCAGCGGTATCTGACTCTTTGTGACCCCGTGGACTGTAGCCCACTACGTTCCTCTGTCCATGGGATTTCCCAGGCAAGGACGCTGGAGTGGGCTGCCATGCCCTCCTCCAGGGGATCTTCCTGACCCAGGGATCAAACCTGCATCTCCTACAGCTCCTGCATTGCAGGCAGATTCTTCACCACTGAGCCACCGGGGAAGCCCCTCTATGTTCATAGGTTTGGTCTTTTTCATCAGAAAGATTTAGAAATGCTTAAAGTTAATTTCAAGTCAGATGTCTTGAAATTATCTAAAGGCTGAAATGAAAGTTTTAATTGAATGAGGTGAACAGTGAAAGCTAATTTTGGGGGGAGGGGGTCATTTGTTTGTTTTTGGCCACACTCCATGGCACATGGAATCTTATTTCCCAGACCAGGGATCAAACCCACGTCCCCTGCAATGGAAGCACAGATTCTTAACCACTGGACAACTTCTTAACCAGAAGTCCTACTAAAGATAGCTTTATGCCTAAAAATCCACAATCCATAAAAGATTAACTTAAAAAAAAAACAACCCACACAACTCTTTCTTCTCTTTCTCAAGAGAGGTATTTGAGGCAAGGGGAGCCCAGAAGAACGGCTCCCTTGCTGTGGATCTTCTGTTCCCGGCTGTGCTGTGCTGGGCTGGGCTTCGTCACTCAGCTGTGTCTGACTCTCATGGACCATAGCCCGCCAGGCTCCTCTGTCCATGGGGATTCTCCAGGCAAGAATACTGGAGCGGGTTGCCATGCCCTCCTCCAGGGGATCTTCCCGACTCAGGGCTCAAACCCAGGTCTCCCACATTGCAGATGGATTCTTTACTGTCTGAGCCCCCAGGGAAGCCCCTGTTGCCCAGAAGAGGAACCGAGGCCCAGAGAGCCCCACTCGAGGCCAGTGGGGATGCTAAGCGCCTCCTCACCAGCCTGAAGGCTCTGCAAGAGCGACTAGGTCTCCTCCACGTTGTCCCCCCACCACTCTGGCTCATGCTCGGGGCTCACAAATTGTGCTAGGGAGGGGTTTACTGAGCTGCACCCTGGTGGCGCTAGTGGTAAAGAACCCACATGCCAATGCCAAAGACAGAAGAGACGCAGGTTCGATCCCTGGGCCGGGAAGATCCCCAGGAGGAGGAAATGGTAACCCACTTCAGTATTTTTGCCTGGAGAATTCCATGGACAGAAGAGCCTGGCGGGTTACAGTCCACAGGGTTGCAAAGAGTCGGACACGACTGAAGGGACTTAGCTGGCATGCACGGGCAGACCAGGTGAGCCTGCTTCTGTAGCTCTGCCAACCTCCCTGGTTTACACCTATTCCAGCTGAATTGGTCACGTCATTTGAAAGCCCTGAATTGACAAGATATCCCAAATGACTGGTGACTATGTGCAGCATATAGAAGGGCTTTGGGGAGATTCAGAGATGGAAAGAGCTTTATGACGCCAGCACACTCACAGGGGGTGACCGTTCATCTGATGGGCAGGAAATCAAAGGTTTCCACTGAGGCTTCCTTCCTCTTGTTTGCCTTTCCTGGTTTTTCTGGAAGAGCTGCGCAGGAGGGATAAGAAATAAACCAACTGCAAGCTCTCTTCGATGGCACCACAGGGGCACCTGCACTGCTCTGCCTTCAGTTTCACAGTGATCCACGTGGAACATGGATGGAAGCTGCTGGAACCCCAAAAAGAGGGAGCAGGTGACAGACCAGGAAGGAACACCTACCATCCCTTTCAGCTGGGGAGCGGAGGAGGCTTCAGAAAGGCCTCATGGGCAGAGGTCTGAGTAAACGCCAGCAGATCCCAATCACACACCCACAGTGGGTGTTTCCTGCCTTTCAATACAATCTTTTCCATCCTAAAAGGAATACATTTTATTCGGAAGTCACATCAATGTAAGAAGAAACAAAGGACCTAGAGATATTAAGTGAAGTAAGCCAGACAAAGACAACTATGGTATCATTCATTTGTGGCATCTAATAAAAACAATGTAAATAAAGTTATTTCCAAGATAGAAGTAGGTTCACAGAAATAGGAGACAAACTTATGGTAATCAAAGGGAAGAGGGTGGGGGAGGGATAGTTTGTGATGAACATATAGACTCCTATATATACAATAGATAAATAACAAGGACCCACTGTATAGCACAAAGAGCCACAAGGCTCCTCTGTCCATATAATTTTCCAGGCAAGAATACTGGAGTGGGTTACCATTTCCTTCTCCAGGGGATCTTCCCCACCCAGGGGTTGAGCCCATGTCTCCTGCATTTCAGGCAGATTCTTTATCACTGAGCCACCAGGAAAGCCAAATATATTCAATATCTTATAATTTATCATGGAAAAGAATCTGAAAAAGAATATATAACAATCATTTTATTGTAAAGCTGAAACTAACACTGTAAACTATACTTCAATAAAAAGCTTTTTTTTGAAAAGGCAAATATTTAAGAACAACCACTGTTTGCAGTTTTAAGCGTACATGCATGCACACACACACACACACACAGAAACACTTATTTTGCTTTCTGCATTTAGCATTATGCCATAGGAATGTTGCTATATTAAAAAAAAAACTTTTTATTTTGAAATAACTGCAGGGACTTCCTTGGTGGTCCAGTAGTTAAGACCTAGCCTTCCAATGCAGGGAGTAAGGGTTCGATCCCTGGTTGGGGCGCTAAGATCCCATATGCCTTGCAGCCAAAAAAATCAAAATATAAAAGAGAAGCAATACTGTAACAAATTCAATAGTTTATTTTTTTTAAGCAAGTATTTTTTTTTAAACAGAAGAAATAACTGCAGATTCACAGGAAATTGCAAAAACATGTAGGGAGAGTGCTACTTACTCTTCACCCAATTTCCCTCAATACAGTTGCATTTTGCATAACTCTAGTACACAATCGAGACCGGGAAACAAGCAGTGTTACAATATATGTGTTCAGTTCTATGCAATTTTATCACATGTACACATCTGTGTAGCCAACATCACAACTAAGGTACGGAACTCTCCCATCACCACAGAGCTCCCCACGTTACCTTTCAGAGCCAGACCTACCTCTCTGCCAACCCCCCCTCCCCCCCCTCGCTGACCCCCCAATCTCTGGAAACCATTAATCTATTTTTAATCTCCAAAATGTGGTCTTTTCAAAAATGTTTTATAGGGTCTTCCCTCATGCTCCAGTGTGGGCTCCCAATGCAGGGGGCCCAGGTTCCATCCTCGGTCAGGGCACTAGAGTTGGCTACAACTGAGTGACTAACATTCACACTTTCTGGGGAAGGATGAAGTTTTAGTTAGGTTGGTGGTGTGACCTAGGAGAAGTGACTCCATCTGGAGCCTCTGGGTTTCTTTTTAACATCAACCTAATTTTGAAAATGCTCCTACAGAAAAAAAAAATTAGTTTATTGGGGCTTGGGGGGCACGTAATGTTCAAATGTTTTGAAACAACTTTAAAAAAAAAACAGTAAAACTGGACGCCCAGTGGTTCAGTGGCTAAGACTATGTGCTCCCAGTGCAAGTGATCTGGGTTTGATCCCTGGTCAGGAAACTAGATCTCACATGCCACTACTAAAGATCCAGCATGCCGCAACTGGCCAGACCTGGAACAGCCTAAAAAAATACAAAAACATTAAAAAAAAAAACTCTGCAGTACGAAAATAAAAAGACCAACCCCAATAACAAACAGACCTCCCAAACACAATAAAGTTTATTTACTGTAGTAAATAAGAATACCTTCAAGATAATTTAAATCAGTCTCCCAAGTTAGCAAGTTATGTCTGCTGTTCTTAATTGTCAGGACCTTTCTAGAGGGATAGCTAACAATTTTTTAAACTTAAAAAAATTAAGCTGCGCCAGGCCTTTGCTGTGGCACATGGAATCTTTGCTCTTCATTGCATCACGCATGATCTTAGTTCCCTGACCTGGGATCCAACCCAGGCCCCCCTATATGGGGGGAACAGAGTTTTAGTCACTGGACCACCAGGGAAGTCCCTCTAATAGTCAATTCAAAAAGTCTTCAGAATATGCATGCTCAATGACCAACCAGTTTCTCTTCTTTCAGTTTTACTTTAGAACTAAGGAGGCACTGAACTAGGGAATTCTCCAGTTGCCAGCATTAGTTAGCTCACAGGACTTCCCAAACTTGGGATTCCCAAATTCCCTGGCAGGAATCCCTGCAGGGTTTTGCAGGTCTAAGGGAGGAACCGAGCAAGTTTTGGTGGTTCCCACCTGGAACAAGCCCTAGTCACCTGGGCAGGTGTTTCTGCTTTCTGAAAACATTTTCCGGAAATTTTGTTGAAACTGCGTACAATAGCTCGTGTGCAGTATGACTCCATTTCTTCAAATAGTGTAGGATTGAAAATTAATTTGGGTTATGAGAAATGCGTGGTCTGTAGTTATTTGCACTTAAAAATCTTCTACCATGAATAGTCATGTGTGTTAATTAAGAGAGCTTTTCAGTTTCTAATATGCGTTTTTCCAGACATTTATCTGGACGACGGTTTTTCCCGGGCACAGTGCCCGGTGGCGCGCCTCTCGCTCGCGCACGCGCAGATGACAACGCAGCGCCGCGCTGTAGCTCCGCGAGACTTCCTCAGGGCGATATCCGGGCCCCGCCAGCGGCTCGGCCCCTCCTACAAGACCCGCCTCAATTTCCGGCTTTTTGCCCCGCCCGCTCGGCGTCTCGGGATCTTCTCCCTGGCCTGGCTCCAGCAGCCTCGCTCTGGCTCCGTGCTGCCCTCTTGTACTGCCGGCTGGGTTCCAGGCTTGTTTTGTTTGCGACGCTGTCGTGCCACAGCGCGCTTTACGGCCGCAGGGACGGAGCGAGCCGGCGCCAGGGCCCCTCCGGCCGGGAAGCAGGACGGGCGAAAGAGGTTAATGCCCGGCGGCGGGGCAAGCGCGGCATCTGGCCGGCTGCTCACCGCCGCGGAGCAAAGGGGAGCCCGGGAAGCGGGGGGGTCGGCGTCCAGGGGCGGCCCGGGAGGCTCGGGCTCTAGCGGCAGAGGCGGAGCGGGCGTCCCCGGGCCGGGGAGCGGAGGCCCGGGGGGCCCCGCGGGCAGGATGAGCCTGACCCCGAAGGAGCTCTCGAGCCTGCTGAGCATCATCTCGGAGGAGGCGGGCGGCGGCAGCACCTTCGAGGGCCTGTCCACCGCCTTCCACCACTACTTCAGCAAAGCCGACCACTTCCGCCTGGGCTCGGTGCTCGTGATGCTGCTGCAGCAGCCGGACCTGCTGCCCAGCGCGGCGCAGCGCCTCACGGCGCTCTACCTGCTGTGGGAGATGTACCGCACCGAACCGCTCGCTGCCAACCCCTTCGCCGCCAGCTTCGCGCACTTGCTCAACCCCGCGCCGCCCGCCCGCGGCGGCCAGGAGCCCGACCGGCCGCCCCTCTCAGGTACGGCTGCGACCGCCCGCCTGGAGCTGCTGGGCCTTCACCGGCCCGGGAAATCCATCGTCTCCTTTTGAAATTCCCTCCCCACCCCCTCCACCAAGTACGGAGGAGTGGCAGCTTCCTGGCACCGACAATTAACCGCTCCCCCCGCAACAGTAGGGGCCGTCACACCGTGCAGCTTAGCGTGGGGCTTGACGCTTTTCCGCCTCACGTGCGGTTCGTTCTCGTCTAGCCTGTCAGAGGTGTGTGAAGTTGTGAGTAACGACACACTTTATCTGCCCCCGGCTTTAAGTCTCAGGGGAGTCAACGAGAAGTCATCCAGACCCGGAAGACGTGGTTGAGCGGAGATACACATTACGCAGGGCTTCCCCGGTGTCTCAGTGGTAAAGAACCCGCCTGCCAATGCAGGAGACACAGGTTGGACCCCTGGGTCACGAAGATGTCCTGGAGAAGGAAATGGCAACCCACTCCAGTATTCTTGCTTGCAGAATCCCATGGGCAGAAGAGCCTGGCAGGCTACAGCTCATGGGGTCGCAGAGTGGGACCCGACTTAAGCTAAACAACAAAGGACTATACTAGCCACCTTCTTGCTGTTAGGTGTCCTTGGTTAACACGATGGGGTCACAGGATAGAAAGCCGCCTCCAATTCACCGCCTAGATTAGAAAACTACGACTGGACATTATGTAAAAGGTGTGTTTTCTGCAACTTTGGTGAGACCGGTGGATTTGATGCGATGCTGCTTTTATTTGTAACTCAATAGATGGTTTATGAGACTTGATTTTAGAAGACCTGAAGCCAGGAGAGGAGAAAGGAACAGAAGAGATAGATGGTGAAGAGTATCTGGGAGATTTAGACAGGGACTAGTGTAGTGGGCAGAACAGGTGGTCAGAGGTGGGAAGCAGCTTGATCTCATAGTCCTTAGGCAGTGAGGAAACAGGTAAGTCACTCCTTAGGAAGGGACTGCTATTCCGGGCGCCAGAAGGTGAAGGCAGAGGATTAATGTAATACTAGAGAATTTTTTCTTGCAGCAGAGGGCTTCCACAGGTAAGCTAGTCATTGTTGCTGCCGGCAATTCTTCTAGATCTAAAGCATCTTCTGATTGGTTTCCTGCCTGGCTCTTACCTAAAAGGGGCAACTTTTGTATTCCATGAGATACCTGTAGGGTGCAGGTCCTGAACCTGACTTCCAGGAAGTTTGAGAATGCGCAGAAAAACAACTGCAAGATGTGTGTGTGTGTGTGTGTGTGTGTGGTCTGGTCAAACCCACCACCCAAGATGGACAGAGACGGTGTGGGATTTGGGTCTGAGAGCTTCTGAATTCTGTAGGATGGATTAGGTAAAGGAACTGTGATTTATGTAATGTTATTCTCAAATGCAATGAGTCTGAAACTGGATCTAGGCTGTTAACTGTATTGTAACAGATTTCCCAGTAAAGAAATCCATAGATTGGTTATTTTGCCTGTCTCTGCCTCAGTTTACTTGTTGGTAAGCTGAAGATAATAATTCCGAGCTGGCAGAGTTATTATCTACCTGCAAAGCAGGAGACCAGAATTTGATCCCTGGGTCAGGAAGTTCCCCGGAGAAGGGAATGGCAACCCATCCAGTATTCTTGCCTGGAGAATCCCATGGACAGAGCAGCCTGGCGGGCTAGTCTATGACATGGCAGAGTTGCACATGACTTAGGGACTAACAAATAGAGTTGTTACGAGGAATAGAAGTAAGTGTTATCCACGATTACCGTTGGTAGGGATGGTGCTTAAATCCACAACAGAGGGACTGTCAATGCCAAGGCTTATTACATTGTACATCAAGTGGAGTATATAGTGGGTATATATATAGTTTTAATTTTTTAAAAATTAAAACTGGAGTGTAATTGCTCTATAGTGTTACTAGTTCCTGCTGCGCAAGTGTGCATCAGCTGTGTGTGTACGAACATCCTCTTCCTCATGACCTCCCTCCCTCCCACCCCACCCCTTCAGGTCATCACAGAGCGCGGAGCTGAGCTCCCAGGGCCGCATACACAGCAGCTTCCCATCTGGTGGCTGTATGTTTTTTGAGCTTTTCAGGTGCCTCTGCTGCAGAGCCAAGGTTGAAAATGTATCTGGATGCAAGTAGGAAGGCGTCTTCACACTCAGGAAACTTCAGTCTGGCTGAGGAAACACAAGCGTGCTTGTGACCCGACACCCAGGGCTGTGCTGGGTGGCACGCACAGTGCCTCGAGGCATGGGGAGCCACCCCCGTGGAGCTGGAGGGACTTCAGAGGGACTGATGTTTTTGCTGGATGTTGATTAGAGGTGGTGGGGAGAGAAGGGTGCGGCCCTCTCAGGTATTCAAAAGAGCTGCGTGTGTTGTATGCTTTGAAATCAGGAATCAGAGAAGCTAAGAGGTTCTGTGCAACTGGAATGTAGAACACAAGCGTTGGAGGGGGAAAATGGGATGAGGAGAGTGCGTCAGGACGAGATTCGGAAGGTCTTATAATGGTGCAGAGCTGGTGGTTGCTTCCTTGTCTCTTTACCTTTTACACAGTTGCTGGTCGCAGCAGAGAAGAAAAGCATTTCTGAGCACTATAGTTCTTGATTTGTGTTGGTCTGTATACATAAGCTTATCTTTGAGGGAACTGAAGCATGTTAGAAAACAGAGTTCTTAATAGCTCCAGAAACTTCTAAGTTTCATTAACATCACCACAGATCATAGTGAATCAGTTGAGAGGCAGTTGGCCCTGTGCATCTTCAGGTTCTGCATCTAAGGATTCAACCAGCCCCTTGGGGGTGGGGTGGGGGTGGGAGTTCCAGAAAGTTCCCAAAGGGAAACTTGAATTCTGGCAGCTATTTGCATATCATTTACATTGTACTCACCTAGCATTTACATTGTATTTACGTAGCATTTACACTGTCTTAGGTGTTTTTAAGTTGGAAAAGGCAATGGCACCCCACTCCAGTACTCTTGCCTGGAGAATCCCATGGACAGAGGAGCCTGGTAGGCTGCTGCGGTCCATGGGATCGCTAAGGGTTGGACACGATTGAGCGACTTCACTTTCACTTTTATGCATCGGAGAAGGCAATGGCAACCCACTCCAGTGTTCTTGCCTGGAGAATCCCAGGGACGGGGGAGCCTGGTGGGCTGCCGTCTATGAGGTCGCAGAGAGTCGGACACGACTGAAGTGACTTAGCAGCAGCAGCAGGTATTTTAAGTAATCTGGAGATTAAAGTATAAGGAGGATGTGTGTAGGTTACTTTCAGATACTACAGCTTTTATGTATAGGATCCAGGCATCTCTGGATTTTAGTGTTTGCAGGTCCTGGAACCAGTCCTTGGGATGATTCCTTAATTACATTTTCCTAAATATGTGTATTTGGTTAAATGAATATTCGATTATAATTGTCTTTAAAGACACGTGAGATGCTAGTTTTATCAGGCTCAAGATAATTTCTAAAAATAACCATTAGCAAAATCATCATACATTTTTTGCTTCTGTGTTTACAGGGTTTTTACCTCCTATAACTCCACCAGAGAAGTTTTTTCTTTCCCAGCTGATGCTGGCACCCCCACGGGAACTCTTCAAAAAGACACCCCGGCAGATCGCCCTCATGGACGTGGGGAACATGGGCCAGTCTGTGGACATCAGCGGGCTTCAGCTTGCCCTGGCTGGTAAGGCAAAGCCGAGGTTCAGGTACTCTTGGGTAGAGGCCAGTCTGCAATTCAGATGTCTTTACAGTGAGATCCAGGGACTACAGATATATTTATGGATGATGCAACTGTGTTTTCCTAACTTAAAGAAAACAAGGAAATCAGCATCAGTGACTACAAGGGACAGTTATAACTACAGTGTAATATGCAGTAGCATCTTGTGTGTTAACAGATTTCCCCCTGGTTTCTACTGAGGGCGAATATCTTTCGAGGTGCTTATTGGCCATTCAAGCTTTTAAAGATAAGATACTCAAACCTGGCCCTTTGCTTGCGTGTTGTAGACACACTTCAAGTGTTTCCTGGTTAATCTTTTTCAGAACGCCAGTCTGAGCTGCCGACTCAAAGTAAGGCCAGCTTCCCCAGCATTCTCAGTGACCCGGACCCAGACTCATCTAACTCTGGGTTCGACAGTTCCGTTGCCTCTCAGATCACGGAAGCTCTAGTGAGCGGGCCAAAGCCACCTATTGAAAGTGAGTGAATCTGATTTTACGTCCCTTCATATTCTTGGTTTTATTTTAGCAGAGTCCCCCTGAGACTCTGGTGTTCTGAAACAGGTTGTTTTCGTTGATGCTGAAACATGAATCTTTTAAAAATTTTATGTCATTGAAATGGTTGATTTACAGTGTTGAGTTAATTTCCACTGTACAGCAGAGTGATTCAGCTGTATGTTCTTTTTCATGTCCTTTTCCATTATGGTTTCTCACAGGATACTGAGTTTTACTTCTGTGCTATATGGTAGGACCTTATTCTTTATCCATTCTCTGTGTAATAGTTTGCATCTGCTAATCCCCAAATCCCAATCCATCCCACCCCCATAGCAACCACAAGTCTGTTCTGTCTGTGAGTCTGTTTCAGTTTCATGGATAAGTTCATTTGTGTCACATTTTAGATCCCACATAGTGGTGCTGTATTTCTCTTTATCTGTCTGGTTTACTTCACTAATGTGATAATCTCTAGGTCCATGTTGCTGCAAATGGCATTATTTCATTCTTTTTCTTTATCCGTTCACCTCTCAATGGACAGATTGTTCCCATGTCTCAGCTGTTGTGAACAGTGCTACCCTGAACATAGGGGTGTGTATTGTGTTTTTGAATTGCAGTTTTGTCAATACAGGCCCAGAAGTGGGATTGCGTGATCATATGGCAGCTTGTTTTTAGTTTACTGAGAACCTCCATGATGTTTTCCACAGTGGCTGCACCAGTTTACATTCCCATCAGTAATGAAGGAGAGTTCCCTTTCCTCCACACCCTCTCTAGCATGATATTTGTAGATTTTAATGATGGCCATTCTGACTGGTGTGAGGTGGTACCTCATTGTAGTTTTGATTTGCATTTCTCTAATAATTAGCTACATTGAGCATCTTTTCATGTGCCTGTTGGCCATCTGTATGCCTTCTTTGAAGAAATGTCTCTTTAGATCTTGTGCTCATTTTTTGATTGGGTTGATTTTTTTTGCTGTTGAGATGGATGAGCTGTATATTTTGGAAATTAAGTCCATGTTGGTTGCATCATTTGCAAATATTTTTTCCCAGTCTGTAGGTTGTCTTAGTTTTGTTTATGGTTTTCTTTGCTGAAGAAAAGCTTGTAAGTATGATTAGGTCCCATTTGTTTATTTTTGCTTTTATTTCTATTGCCTTGGGAGAAAAACATTGGTGGGATTTATGCCAGAGAATGTTAAACATGAATTTAATGAAAAACTTCTAGTATGGTGTCCAGAACATAGTAGATATGCTCAATAAAAGTTTCTTCTTTAATAAAAATACCAAGTTTTTTTATTACATACCTAAAACTATAAATTCCCTGATTTTACTGAAATGAGCTTATTTTTGTATCTTATTACCTTTTTTTGTTTTATACCTCTTTATTAATCTCATCATTCTCCACTAAAGTTTTACTAATCTTACGGCTCTTACTTTAATTCAAAGAAAACACCTATTGAAGCTTATGGAACTGTATTCTTTGGTTTTATAGGCTTCTGTGTGGTTTTAATGATGAAGGCATGCTTTTTGCTTAGGGATAAGATTATCTTCTCCAGACTACAGTGTTACCTTGAGTTTGAAACCTGCACTGTGACTCTTTATGCCATTTGTAGCAGATCTTTGGCATAAACGGGTCTGGGCTAGTCACAGTGTACGGGAGGGTCCAAGGCACACAGAGGTGGTTACTGATGCTCGCTGGGCACAGCTGTGACTGGAATGGGCCACTGAGAGGGGTGTGAGAAGTAGACCGGTCAGGTATCAGGTCCGAGTCTAGCTGAACACCAAGCATCCTTACCTCATGGGAACTTTCTCTTGATCACGTAAGTACTGCATCTCCTAAACTGTTAAAACACTTTCTCTTTGTTAACAGTCTGCAGAGATTCAGTGCTGGTTCTGGTGAAGAGATGGTGTAGTTTAAGATAAAGGGATGGGGCTTCCCTGGTGGCTCAGTGGTAAAGAATCTGCCTGCCAGTGCAGGAGACATGGGTTCGATCCCTGGTCCAGGAAGACCCTACATGCTGAGGAGCACCTGAGCTTGTGCACCACATCTATTGAGCCTGTGCTGTAGAGCCCATGAGCTGCAACTACTGAAATCCATGTGCCTAGAGCCCATGCTCCTCTGCAATAAGAGAAGCTGCTAAAATGAGAAGCCCATGCACCGCAGCTGGAGAGTAGCCTCCACTCTCCGCAACTAGAGAAAAGTCCATGTAACAACAAAGACCTAGCACAACCCCCAAAAAAAGATAAAGAGATGATTCTTAGCCAGAAAACAGACGTTTTCAATGAACTGGAGTATCCAAGTCTGAAACTTGACGGGGGCTTGGTCCATGGGAGGAGACAGCTGTCTTAGGCCCTGTGTGAAAACCAAAGTGAGGGGTGAAGTTTGCCCAGGAGTCCAGCCAGTGTTTTCATTCACTTAAGAGCATGTATATCTTAGGGATCAATCTTTATAAAACAGTTGAGGTATCAAGTCACTCCCCTGTCCTGTTTTTTTTTTTTACTGTTTTATGAAAATGCTGTGGCATTTGTGAATTTATGGGTCTATGAAACTCCAGATTCATTTGAGAATGTCGTCAGCCATAGTTCTTACCTGCCCATTTTATTTGTACATAATTTGCTACTGCAAGGTTTTAAGATGAAAAAATAAAACTGGTACACATTATATAGTCTCTGAATAAAATATTGCTGAGAATAGGATGACTGAGATCAAATAGTGTTTTATTTTTCCCATCAAAAGACTTACCAATGAAGTAAGTGGTGTCCTTTTGCTACTGATCATGATTGAACCAGGACTTGTCAGGGGGTGATATTGCTTTCCTTTGCTCTCTGAAGATAGATAGATTTGGTCTCTGGTATAATAATTCTGTGTCAGTGTTTCATTCTTTCATTTGTGTTTTGGGAAAAAACCTACTTTATGTCATTTCTGCTTCTGATTTTTGAATCAGTGTGACTGTGTTGTCCTTACTGAGAGTGTTAACTGCACTGCAGTAAGTGGCATCTGAGGTTTTGGCAGCCCACTCCGGTATTCTTGGCTGAGAAATCCCGTGGACAGAAGCTGCCTGGAGGGCCACAGTCCATGGGGTCGCAGAGTCAGACATGACCAGGCATGCCCACATGCACAGACGTGGGGTTTATACATGAGTGTCAGCCCCCCCAGAGCGGCAGTCACACAGGCTCCTCTGATTGCAGGCCATTTTCGGCCCGAGTTCATTCGTCCCCCGCCTCCGCTGCACGTGTGTGAGGATGAGCTGGCCTGGCTCAACCCCACCGAGCCTGACCACGCAATCCAGTGGGACAAGTCCATGTGCGTGAAGAACAGCACCGGCGTAGAGATCAAGCGAATAATGGCTAAAGCCTTCAAGAGCCCCCTGTCCTCTCCTCAGCAGACACAGGTATGTGTTTACCATCAGCGTTCTCCTATAAGGAATTCACCAAGCGTTCTTGTTTCTCATGAAGTGATAAACGACCAGTGACACGGTGTCATCAACATGATCCACTGGTAGGAAGTGTCTTGGTCCCTGAAGCTCCGTTCGGCCTCCCGCTCTGCTGACTGCACTGTGGTGGGGCAGCGAGTCTGGTGCCCGAACACCTTGCAGCTTCTGCCTGCGATCAGCTCTACTCCGGGCGAGGGGCCTGAGGTGGCGCTCGCTCACTTGGGGGCACTCTGCTCTGGCCCTGCTGCTGGGGGCTTCGTGTATGCTGTTGCTAAGCTGAACGGGACTCACCGGAGGCTGAGTCTGCAGTGGCTCACATCTCACCAGGTAGGGAAGCCAGCGCCCATCACACAGCTGGTTGGTCGTGTATTCACAAGTCCCTGTGCCCGACGACGAGACTTCAGGAGACACAGGACGCTGTGGGTAGTTCCTGTTGGTGAATCTTACCCAGTTTGCACACCTTCCCATTAGAACTTGTCAGGAGGTACCTCTCCAATCTGGTGTACCACCTAACACCATCTTCAGAGTCAAGTTTAACAGCCTTGTTCATAGTTTACTTTGCTAACTAGTCAGTCCTGAAGGAGTCTTTGTGTACATGCAGGTAGATGGGGACACAGCATAGAAAATGTATGTAAAGGAATGTACAAATTTGGCAAAATACATTATTTTTGAGGACACATACTTGAATAACAGTGTGCGTGTGACTTGCACTGTAGTGTACGCAGTCTGACACCCCCCCCGCCCCCACCCAGGTGCTGGGCAGGGCTCAGTTCCTGAGTTTCCTGATGACCTCGGTGGTCTGTGCTTTTCAGTAGTACTCACTGCTAAGATTATTTTTTATTATAACTGAAAACAAAAAAAACCTACCTACAAGGGACGTAAGGATATTATTGTTAAAATCCAGACAGTATTGATTCAGGTTTCATGCCCAGGAGGCATCAGTGTTATTTATAAACTCTTGTGATGGTGCCTGGTTGTAATACCTGACAATTCAAATGTAAGTGTCAAAATATCAAAGCATGATGATCATGGGTTTGAGGGAAGATACTGATGAAGTTGGTTCAGTGCGGGTAAATTTTATAACATTTTAAAAACAAAACAGTTGGGTATTTTTATATGCAGGAAAGAGAATTTCTAATTTGACTTCTTTTTCTCTTTTTAAAAAAACTTGATTTTATTTAGCTACTTGGAGAGTTGGAAAAGGACCCCAAACTTGTTTATCATATTGGCCTCACTCCAGCCAAACTTCCTGACCTAGTGGAAAACAATCCTCTAGTCGCTATAGAAATGTTGCTGAAGTTAATGCAGTCAAGCCAGATCACTGAATATTTTTCAGTTCTGGTCAATATGGATATGTCATTACATTCGATGGAAGTTGTAAATCGGTAAGTTTCTGTACTCGATCAAATGCTGGGTGGGGGCGGGTGGGGCAGGTATATAGATCCTGATTAAATGATTAGAAGGGGAAAAACTTGCAACAGTTTTTTTTTCCTGACATTGTTAGTCTGAGAAAACCCATTAAACAATCTAAGCTTCAGTGTTAACTGCATATAAATTTCGCACCCCCAAGGAAGAACTTGGAGGGTATTCTGAGCCTTTAATGCTATGTTAGCCACTGGACCACGTGGGAAGTCACCATCTGTGAGACCTAACTGCTAAAGTCTATCTCCCTGTGTATGGTTATATGTTCTTAGTTCTCTGTGCTTCAGTCACTCGGTCATGTCTGACTCTGTGCTCCCGTGGACTGCAGCCCAGCAGGCTCCTCTGTCCATGGGATCTTCCAGGCAGGGATGCTGCAGTGGGTTGCCGTTTCCTGTTCCGGGGATCTCCCTGACCCAGGGATCGGACCCAAGTCTCCTGCATCTCCTGCATGGCAGGTGGATTCTTTACCACTGCACCACCGGGGAGCGTATATTCTTTCTCTCTACATAAATTCCAGGTGTTAGACTGTTTCTGTTATCAGGGAAGGTAGGGGCTGAGCAGCTGCGGCAGCTCCGAGAACGCCTTCCTGGAATCCCGGCGCTGCTCTCTGAGCCGTTCTTTGGTTTGGCCTCCTTGCTCTGCTGTCATCGACTGTCAGGGAAGCAACAAGTGGGTTCTCACTTTCTTTTGCTCACAAGTAAGTTTTAAATACCTCACAAACTTCACAGACTTGGAGGTTCGCTTGGGAACCTACTATTAAGCTGTTTATATGTAGTGTCGGTCAGGAAGATCCCCTGGAGGGGGAAATGGCAACCCGCTCCAATATTCTTGCCTGGGAAATCCCACGGACAGAGGAGTCTGGCGGGGTACAGCAAATGGGGCCACAGGAGAGTCAAACACGACTGAGAAACCGAACAGAGAGTGGAGCCGGAGTAAGTGGAAAGGCTTACTGGTCTGCTCCCAGTGTAGGCTTCTCATCCCCAACCCCCCCCCCCCGCCCCCCGCCCCGCCGCACACGTGGTGTCCTGTTTCGGGGCTAAATGTGACGGACTTTCTGTCTGCTTACGGGGAGATCCATTCTGAATGCCAGGCAGCTACAGTCCAGTTGGAGCACTTTGTGGAGCGCTCGTTTGAGTGTCGGGGGTTACTGTTTCTAACCTATTTACAGCTGTACTGAGCTGGGACTCCCTGGCAGCCCAGTGTTCAGGACTCAGCACTTCCACTGCCGAGGGCCCACATCCTCTCCCTTGAGCGGGGAGGGGCCACACGACTAAGATCCCAAAATCTGCATAGTGAAGCCCCCCAGAAAAAGTCCTTTTAAGTTAATCGGCTGGTGGGAAAAGCCTAACTGAGAGCCCAGGGCAGGTGTGTGCTAGGGCAGGACAGGTCTGGGGAGGGACAGAGGAAGCGCGTAGTTTTCAACCTTCATTTTCTGTCGCTTGCAAGACCGGTTAACCTGCTGCTTCTGCCGCCTTCTTGTTTGAGCCTTCTTCTGTTCGGGTCCTCCAGGCTGACCATGCTGAGTGCTCACTTACTGTCTAAACGAGATCATAGGCACTTTGTCCAAGGATAACTACATCCTTTTATCATAGTGTGGACATGTTTCAAGGGTGGGGTCTGCTGTGGGAGCCCCACTCACCCACCTCATTGTGCATCACCCCATCCCACGAGTCACCAGCAGCCCAAGGCTGCGTTTCCTTGGAGCCTTGTGGGAAAAAATTCTGTAGTCAAGTAAGTTTAGAAACGTGCCACGCCAACCCCCGATTCTACACTTTACTCAGATCATTTACTGATCTGAAGGAATCCTTCTGTCTGTGGGTTTCAATTTAAGTCATATGCCCTGTGAAGCCTTTCCACTTACGCTGCTCTTTGTGCTTCACGTCAGTACTTAGTCATGCACTGTGCTGTTCAGTTCCTACCACGCTTTCCTTCACAAGTGCTCCTTGCATAGCACCCCTGTGTAATCAGGTTGGTATTACTTACGCAGACAGAGTAATTGCCACATTGTCAGAGCCTGGATGCTGACTAGGAATTACAATTCAGCCGAGACCACACAGGGACATGGTGCTCAGCGCTTATTACACACGAAAAATGGCAGTGTTACTTATTAACGGGGGTGAGTGGGGTGGGTGGCGCTGAGGTTTACTTGCATGAACCATTAATATCAGAATTTTTACTAAGTGACTGAAATTAACAGGCCTGCCTTTGTTTTTATGAAACAGACTAACCACAGCTGTTGATCTACCTCCTGAATTTATTCACCTTTATATATCCAATTGCATTTCTACCTGTGAACAAATTAAGGATAAATATATGCAGGTAAGTAACAATTTTTGTAACCTTTATAAATACCTGCCCTGAAAACAGATGCTAACACAGGTTCCTTTTTCAGAATCGTCTGGTGCGTCTTGTGTGTGTCTTTCTCCAATCCCTGATCCGTAACAAGATCATCAACGTGCAGGACTTGTTTATAGAAGTGCAGGCCTTCTGCATTGAGTTCAGCAGGATCCGCGAGGCCGCGGGCCTCTTCCGGTTGCTGAAGACCCTGGACACTGGGGAGACACCTGCCGAGACCAAGATGTCCAAGTGATGCCTCTTTGGGACTTCCCGTTCGTTGTTCAGCTGTGCTGTGCTTTCCTTTTTAAAACTGTCCAGACCCCAGTGATTGCTTGGTTTAATGCACATAAACATCACTCCCTCCACTTAAGAGTCTTGCCTCCCTGGGTGACTTCTCCCTTTAGATGAATTTTTGGTAAGAACCTGGAAGAACGCGTCCTGTAGGTGTCTTGCTGATGGCTATCCACAGGGAAAGGTCATCCCAAAGTCACTGCACTCGGGAGATGAGGCCATCAGCATTGAAGGCTTGTTTTTGCTTAAGATGTAAGTCACAGGCTTCTGATAAGGCTTTAGGGAGAGTAAATGAAGACCCTCTTTAAGAACATGAATTCCTGCCCCTGGGGCCTGGAGTCATCCCAGGATGGCAGTCTGACCCCTAAACCTCTCACTGGGCCCAGTGTGAGCCATGGACACACGTGTAACCTCATGCTTTCCTTTCACGGGGACCTAAGAGACAACAGAGTAAGCGCTTTTCTTGGGCTGTCTACCAACGTGGGAATTCCTAGAAACTGTTTTTGGGGACTGTAATAGCTGGTAGTTCTCTGGGCTTTCTCTCTTGATGTTTGGTGCTCTGGGAGGACGGTCCTGGGGACCTGTCCTCACCGAGTGGGGTGTGTGCCCCACCTGTGGGCTCCTGTGGGCTGTTACCCCTCTTTTAACTCTGGACAACAGTGCCTTACATTAAAGTTTTCTATGAACTCTATTATCTGATGTTTTTACTTGGAAGAAATCATGAAAAATCCCCCATCTACTGATGTACTTTCAAAGCATACTCTACAGAAACCTGAGTCACTCACTTTCTAGTCCACCTCTTAAGCAAAAGTTAAAGGCTATACCAAGCAGGGCAGGTTTTAAGATTAACATAAATTCCAGCCTTGTAATACTGGCAAAAGAGTATGCCTAGATGATGAGGAATTTTAGCTTAGACATTCTCATAAAGGGAAGGGATTTATAAATATACCTGCTTCAGAAGGACCCAAACTGGTGTAACAGGTGTGCCTTCAGAAGTCATTTAAAAGTCATTAAAAGTCATTATTTTAATGATGGCAGTAATGGACTTTCCACACCTAACTTTTCTGTGCCCAGGGCTGACATGCGGGCATCACCATTTTACATGTTAGCACTGGGCAAAGAAAGTTTACTAGTCGGTACTCTCTGTGATGGTGAAGTTTTGACCACACCACTGCTGGAAGCCCCCCAACCTCGGGTTCAGGCCCTTCCGATTCTCGGTAAGCGAGCGCTCCCGGCCAGCAGCCTGGACACACACATGAAGCTCACCTAACACACGTTTTGTCCGTGAGGCACCTCAGTCATGTTGCAGCCCTATGCCTGGGCACTGTTCCAAGCTACGCAATCACCAACTGAAGCAGCACAAAATGTCAGAGATGTGGCACCACGCCGACCACGCAAGGACACCTGTTGTCAGTCTGACACTAGAAGACCACATCCTCCTGTCCAGCCGCACCTAGGAACGCATGTGCCGGCAGCTGGGCACCTCACTGCCCCCGGAGCATCCACAAGTCACCACCCATGCAAACACTGATTTGGGGCCACAAACGGGCTTTTGTGGGCAGATCTGCAACATGGCCTGTGACTAAAGACAGACCACTGCTCATCATTTCCAGGTTACAGTCCTGGTGTTTATTGACAGAGGAAAGGGTTTCAGATGTATTTCAAATAAATAGCTTACAAAGAATAGTAGTTATATTTAGAGAACATTTTATGGGAGGAGAAGAAAAAACCCCAGATACATTTACAACACCAGCAAAAAGTTCTTCATTAAACATGTTTAAAAGTAGAAGAAAGTTTACCTGAAATAAAAGGTACTATAGTCCTGGGATTTGATAACTGCATCAACTTTTAAGTTTAATTAGATGAGTTCATGTTTTTTAAAAACCACGTCTTGAATTCTCTGGACTTTCAGTTCCAGTTTCTAGCTTTAATATCTTCCAATCACCTGTTTAAAAGAAGACAGCAAGAAGACCTGTTAAAATGACATCTTAGGGTAGAAAGATGTTCGAAAAAGTATTTGTGATCCTAAAATATAACTATTTCAAATACCTTTAGCAATACTGTTTACTTATACAACTCTAAGAAAATGGTATCATTCAACTTTTATTCTTACAGAAATAGACAAACTTTCATAAATTTTAATGGACTCAATGGACATGAGTTTGTGCAAACTCTTAATGCGGAAAATCCTTAAGAAAAGGACTTCCAAAATCTTGAGATTCAATAACTAATCAGCCTAACAGTATAAGTGTTTTCCCAGGTTTCTCTTCATCCGTTGATACATGAGCCTCCAACGCGTCAAAAAGAATGGATTGACTTTTTTTGTACTAATCTTAAACTAATGTAATGCAAATACTTTTTTGATTTACAACTTATTTTATACTTTCCTGTTAGGATGAGGGCACACCTTCTAGCTGCATGGCTGATGATGACATTGTTTTACTTTTGTAACTAGTAATAGATGTGCCAGTACTTTGGAAAATGAAATGCTTTTAAGTGTTTTAAAACTTCAGAAATGAAAATTAACTGGGAAAAGCATCAGTGGCTTTTCTAATTGGTGATCTCATGACAGAAGCAGTGTGCAGAAGATGAACTCTGGTTCAGGCCAAAGTTCTGTGTTCTGTAAGTTGCAAATTAGAGTTTACACCAAGCCTGGAGAAATGCTTTTGACTAAAACATGTAAGTACCTCAGGTTCTAGTTAGCCATGTATATGGGCTGACTTACCCTCAGCCCGCATTGACCATACGAGCTTTAATGTGCTCAGAAACAGAGACTATAGCTAAGCTAAGCCATCTTACCGGGGCAGCTGGTTGTGTTGGGCATTTTGTCCCAGTGAGAACAGCCTGGTTCTTGAATGTCTTGTGTGCTTCTGCGCTCAGGGATGTCTGACTCTGCAACCCCGTGGACTGCAGCCTGCCAGGCTCCTCCCTCCATGGGGTTTTCCAGGCAAGAGTACTGGAGTGGGTTGCCATTTCCTCCTCCAGGGGATCTTCCCGACCCAGGCAAGGAGCGAACCCATGTCCCCTGTGTCATGTGAATTCTTTACCATTATGGTCTATTACTATTATTATTGTTTTCATGATTCTAGTCACTAGTCTTTGATGTAGCAAGTATATCATAAAACATGCAGAAAGGTGCTTATTGCATGCTGAAGGCCCAAAGTTGCCCAGGGTTCACCAATCATCTCTTCTTAACAATGTCTGAGCTTGCTGGAAAGGCCCGTTTTGGAAACCGTGCCCCGACATTACTGAGGTCAGACCAGAGGTTCGCTTCAGGAGGTTTTGTCATCGTGCACCCACAGAGAGCCAACTGCCAAGGGACACACTGCAATTCGGCCTTTTAGTGTCATCACTCCTCAGTAACGACGGGGCAGTCCTCCGGGAAGGGTCTGGGTGCCCAACATCCCCAGCAGGACCACAGGGAGGAGCTGTTACCTGCTGCAGGTGCTGTGTGCACATCCCTCCAGGCGGCATGGCTTTCTGAGCGGAAGCCCTGAAGCTGCAAGGCAGGGGCGCTGGCATCCATGGGCACATGCTGTCCTCCACACACCACCGAGGCCCTCACAGTTAAAAAGAAAGAACACTGTCTCTACGTTATTTGTGAACAAAGCTTTCAAGACAACTGTCAGAAGGAAAGTAATTACTGCCATTCAGTAGTACAATCTGAACTAAATCTCTCTGCTTTACTAACCTTTCTTCATTTATATTCCCCAGATTCCCAGCATTTTATCAATGTTGTGTTTCAGCAAAAATTCTAGTAACTGACCCTTCATCACGTCCACCTAAGAAAATCCTTTTGAAAGGAAACATTTTCCTTACCAAGTACAGAAGAGTTTTCTGTCTGCTCTTGCAGATTTCTTTATTTGCTGTTAAAGACCTGTGCTTCTAGAGATGACAGTACTATAATTTTTCCAGTCTCTTATGTTTATAACTTAGGGTCAAAGTCTCTTTTTTTTTTGACTGTGCCTCACAGCACAGGGGATCTTAGTCCCCTGACAAGGGATGGAACTCGTGCCCCCCTGCAGTGGAAGCACAGAGCGCCAGTGAACCCCAGAGGAGTCCCTCAAACTCCTGAATTAGGTAAAGCTCTAGTTGACAGCTGCTGATAAGAACTCACTGGCTCATAATCATCAAAAACAATTCACCCTGATCTGTCAAAGCATTCTTTAAAGTCAGCTTCATTGGCTAATGGGAAGAATTAAAGCACTTTCCACTAGTATGTGTCTTAAAATACAAAGAGCAACCTACTTTGTATAGAATCAGGGACATATTTTCCTATCTGCAATGAATGACACAGAAGGCAAATTTCAAAGATAATGGCCATTATGGAAACCCACTGCAGTGTCTGCTGAAATTAGCACTCAAGAATAAGGCAATTTCTATCCCAATAGCTCTTCCCTTGGAGTCTGGCCTCAGTTGATATCAGTAACACTGTTGAATCACCTAGAGTTTCACCGAGTGGCTGGAATCAGAGTGTACTAAGTAACTTGAAAAAAAAAATAAACTATATAAACTTTACGTCTTAGATACAGGTATAAGAATTAATTGTTTACACTTTAAAAATTATGTACTCTCGTAAACATTTATTTTTACCATGAAATAAAGATGTACACAGTAAACAGTTTGGAAGCTACAAAGGACTACACCTTCAAGCCGTAAAACACTAACTTCCTCACTCTGGCCCTTCCGCCTCTAAGAAGTGCCGGCAGAGTGCAGTGTGTGTGCGTTTTTGTTGGTTTTTTGGCCACCCCTGTGGCATGCAGAGCTTCCCCAATCAGGGGTCGAACCTGCGTGCAGCCCTGCAGGGGGAGTGCAGAGTCTTCACCACTGTGTGTGTGTTTAATCACTTTTTCAATTTAGGGAGTGGCCCCCAAAGCTTCAGAGCAGCCTAATCCCCCTGCCTTCAAGGAAGAGCAGCAAACAAGGGTGAAAGGGAGAGATGATGAAACAAGTTCACTGTCGTTAAGCTTGCTTTAAAATTAATCGAGAAAACTGGTTACCTGTTTAACAGCAACCGAAAGTCTGCATCTGTCACCCCTTTAATTGTAAAGATTAAACTAGTTGAAATCAGTAAATTCATCATTTACCTAAAAAAAAATCCACATCAGAGTCTGTTTACTCCATTTCCTTAACAAGCAATGAAGAACTTCATGCTCGTGTGCGATACAGAATCTTAGCTTTTTTTATTTGTAGGAAAAAAGGGACAAAACTTCCCTCCCCATCAAGGTTACTAGAAGAAATTAGGTAATAAAAGGGAGAAGTGAAATTACTCAAGTCCACCAGTACTTTTCTCATAATTCCAAATTTAAAAAACAATGAAAGTTCTCTCAGGTTTGGAAATCTCTCTAAAATACAGAGGTGCAAGAAAGCAACAGATTTCTCTCATCACATTGACAAGTTTAATGTTCTAAAAAAGTCTTTCCTCCAGGGAAATTCACATGACCAATTACTGAATATAATCACGCAACTCCATTTCAACTAGTGTAAAGTCAACGTGCTTAAGCTAGAACCATCCTTGAGAAGACAGAATCATCTTTTGATACATTTCAATAGATAAATATATCAAGACTAATCAAAAAGCCTCTTGAAAGAATAAAATAGCTCTTTTTATACCAAATTAGAACCTGAAAGGTAAAAGAATGTACATTATTTTCACATATACAAACTATGCACTAAAGTAAAAAAAACAAAGTGTCCTCTAAGTCGAGCCTAGGCTCTGTCCGTGACGCGGTCCACAGGTCGCGCACTAGCAGGTGGGTCCGTCACGCTGAGCGTCGCTCCCGCCTGTCTCTACAACAAAGCAACGGGAGCCAGTGTCAGTCGCTGGGTGTATTCTGGGCTTTGGGTACATAAACATTGTTACATTTGGAGATCCAAGTTCATGAAACAAATTACAGAAATTTTTAAATAAAACTTACACGGAAAGACAGCACCTATTCCAGACAGAGAGTTAAGAAAATATAAAAACACCTTCTTCATATAGAGCATGAGAGGTTTTCTAGTCTAATCAACAAGCATGTGGTCAGCTCCGTGCAACAGAAAAGACGCAGGCTGAGCTGGTGGGATTAACTGGAGTGTGCTTTCAAACACACAGCAATGGCATCACCACCCAGGAAGACAGCAGCTTGCATTTACCGGGCAATGTATATTGACCCTACCAGCTAGAGACGGCTACATTGTTATCCCCAATCTAGAGACTGGAAATTGAGACACGGAGAGGTTCAAACTGGCATTCGAGTCCAGTCGGATGTTGCCAGGAAAGGAGAACAGAATAATTTTGGTGCAAAAGGTTTCTTTCAGGAGTACAGTACCTCCTCAAATATAGGAGAACCAAGCACTGTGAGTTCACCTACAATCAGACCTGAGGTCAAGTGGACCAGAGAGGAGCCCACTGGTGCAGACACCTTCTGCAGGGAGTGGGCTGCCCTAATAACCCCCACCTTCATCTCGAGAAAGTGTTAGCTTAGCTACTGGTGAAGTTACATTATACTCTGGAAGACCTAAGGTCAGCTGGAAAGAATTAACTTTTTTCCAGTGTAATAGTTCTCAAATGATGCTGTTATGATGGCAGGCTAGAAATAATATTAATACATAAATTACCTGTCAAATTTACTGGTGAACAAATACTTAGAAATTCAGGTTAATAATTTTACCTGTCCTGAAATATCTCAAGGGTAGTCAAGTAGTAGAGGAAACAAATTTCGTTTCCCTTCTGGAGACCGAAGGAAACAGCAAAAATTACAGTGGAATGCATCTGGGCTCAATGCAACAGAATTGCTAAAAACAAGGTAGTTCATTCCCAGCAGGAGACCCAGCTAGGAGAACAGGCTAGAAGACCTCCTATGTGATCCACCTTTCCACTTCCTAATTCTCTGAAACTCATTCTCCTTTATTCTTACACAATGCATTCTTTCTTCCTCAGGTTCTGCTTTAAAACGTCACTTCTCATGTTTCTATCTTTGCCTCCCAGATTCTAAAAATGTACAAAAAAAAAAGACAAACTGATTCAGTTTGAATATTACCAATTTGGAAAAATATTTTCTTTTTCCAGGTTGGCAAATTCAAAATCAGAAGCATCAATTCTTCTCAGTTAAATCTATAAATTAGTTCAACTATAATAAAAATTTTCATGGTATTTTCTTATACATGGTAAATTGATTTTAAGATTAATCTTAAAAAATGAAAAACAGCTCAGAAAATTTTTAAAATAAGAAGATGAGGAAATTTGCCTTGCTTTGTGACTATCAAAACATATTATTCACAGTTAATGATCGCTAAACAACTGACAAGTGGTTAAATATTTGGGAAAAATGTGCATTAAAGATTTAAGCATAAAATACAAAACCACAACTGATAGTAAAATATAAGTTAATAACCCTGAGAAAGACTTTCCTAACTTAGCATTCTATCAAAGGCAGAATCATGCAAAGTATGAGAAGGCTGGACTAGATAAAAAACAAAGCAAAGACCAAAAAGTTCTTAGAATCAATATGAAAAAATTAGTTTTTCTATAGAAAAATAAATTAAGGATGAAATGGGCAACTCAGAAAAGAAATATAAATAACCAACAAATACGAAAAGAAGGTAGTTGCATCAGTAACTTTAAAAATGCAATTCACTCTATTTTACCTATAAGAAGGGCACAAGATAGGTGGTAAACACACACATGATCATCAGTGTTACTGACGATAAAAGTCCAATCCATCAGCAGGACGTGGTTTACAGAAACCATACTGAACCCAGAATGTACTAATACCCAGCTGCACAAAGTCACATGTCTTGTCTACGGATACAGAGTTTCGTACACCAAGAGGAAGAAGCAGGTTACCTGAGGGCACATAAATGATATTCTCTTCCTCTTCACACACAAACACAAAAAATTTGAGATATATTTATCAAAATGTTGAAACAGTATTGTATCTGCAGGGGTAAGATCATGGTTTTCATTTTTCCTTTATGTTTTTTCTGCACGTTATGGGCTTTTCCACTTTCATTTAAGCACTGATAACACCACTGTTTGCTAACCGGCGAGTGACTCACCCAGCAAGGCTGTGCTTTCACCTGCATCCTCTTTAAAGCTGGCGTCACAGGGTGGCACAGGGTCACTGGTGGAGGGCAACTCGGAGCTGCCGGTGTCCCTTCTCTCGCCGTCTGCTACCATGAGACTCAGATCTGCAGCCGAGACGCCCCCAGGGAGGGATTCTGGGGCAGTCGCCTCCTGTGCGTCCTCAAGCTCGCCCTTGAGAGTCAGAGCAAAGAAACACCTTTTCTCAGTAACACCATCAAGCTTGTCTATCATCATCTGCTCATAATTAAAACAAACTATTTAAACATCAATATTGCAAAAAGCACATCAGTGTCTTCTTAGCATCACCAGAAAGCGAGTTACTTCTCAGTAAGTAGCTTTTCATGGCCTAAATGCTTTTCCTCCAAAACACCATGTTTCCCTTGACACAAACGATGCCACCTTTTAAACTACGTATTGACAGAAGGTGAAGCTCTGTCACAAATGATTGTCCTGACTTCCTGAGCAGCCTGGCTGGCTGCTGAGCACCCAGCGCTCAGGAGACACGCAGGCCCCTGAGCATCAGGGCCCGGCTCACTCAGAGAGCGCCGATTCTGCACCGGCTGTCTGTCTGCTGCCAGTGTGCCTCCACTTCCCCACGTGCTGCTTTAAAGAAGAAAATGAGGCCATGAAAGTGCGCACAGGAGACCCTACAAGCACCCCTGCATTGAGTCTCAAAACCTGGGGGCCATCCAGAAACCTTTTTTGATTAACGCCAGAGTCAAAGTTGTGATGGACGCATCTGCTGGTAAAAGACCAACTGGGGGCGGGTGGGTGTCCTGTGAGCCTGTGCTGAGACTGAGCACCACACAGCCTAGCTGCCCGCTCCACTCCTGGGGTCCTCAGGGCCAAAGGCACTGCTGCTCCCGCTGCCGGCTCCACCTGTGTTCTAGAACCTTCTTCTGACTCCTGGACCCCGCGTGGCTCACTGCCTTCCCACAGGCACCCCCAGAGAAGACGCCTGCCACACCAACCACCAAGTCCTGCCAGGCTGCCATTGTACCGCGCTCCCGCTCAGCCAGCCCTGACCTGTGTTTCCAGGTCCTTGTCTGAACACCTGCCAGGCTGAACTAGCTGCCCATCTCAGGCCCCACGTGGTCACTCGTCATTGACCTGTGATACGCAGAGCCATTAACAGGCAGCTCAAATGTCCCTCCAGCAACCCCTCCCTGAGCTCCCCCATTGCTGCTGGCAGGGTCAAGGCCTCCCCTCTCTGTGCCCCCCACTCTCCAAACAGGCCTCCTGGGCCAGCACGGTGGGGTGCATGCCTGCCCCCTGCCAGTCCAGATGGCGGAATCCCTGGGAGCCAGTGAGCAGAAGGGTGGAGTCCTGTCCAGCTCTGTCTCTCCAGAGCCAAGTCCAGACCCAGCACTGCACACCCCTGATAAGGGCTGACCCCGGGAGCAAACACGACAGTGACAAGAGGCATGTCAAAGTGGTCACAGCTGCAAAGTCGGGCACCACTCTGTGAGGGCCAATGGCTGCTCTTACTGTGGTCATTTCTCACTGTGGAAATTAGAACTAGTTACCACACGAGAGGAGAGTGTAAAACACGCTACAACTCAATGCAGGGAGGTCAGCGGGTCTAAAGAAAAAGGCAGATCTGTCAAAGAATTAAAAAAATAAATAAAGGCAGGACAAGTTAATTTCTTAAGTGTGATTTCAAATTACTATAGGTTTCTTCAGAACAGAAAACAACCTTTCTGGGAACACATATTCTAGCCTTCTGAAACATTCTGAAAGCAAGACAACCTGATGTAAATGAGTCTTGATTTTTAACGTGTGAAATATACGTAGATACATTTCCAAAAACAGTCTCAATGCTAAGGTCAATGGAATGCCTTTTCCACAAATGTTTAGAAATGAAAAGCAGGTTTAAAGTCACCAACTAATGGAGACAGCAACTCAAAAACAGTTTCAGAGTGCATCCACAGCAGGGAGAGGAGGAGACTGCCAGGAAACCACCTGTCTAATCCCTGGCTTCCACTGTTTGAGACCCGGTCCCAGCAGGGCTGGGCGAGACAGGAATGAGCCACGGTCACTAAGAAAGCCCAGGACACCAGCCAAGCTGAGGAGAGCCACCAGTTATCAGAGACAACCAATCAATGAACATTAGAGATTCTAGAGCAAAGACACCTTTTCTAGACATCCAGGTGGGTAAGGTTCCAGTAAGACAGTTCTGCCTCCCTCTGTGTATCCACACTGAGGCCTCTGCAACTCACACTTGAACAGTGTAATTCACAGAAAATCACCTTGGTTATTAAGACAGTGCGTGGTCCCCTAGCTCTCTTTTGAAGATATGCTGAGCTGGAAAACGAAAAATATTTTGAAGGGGGCCTGCAGCTTTGAGGGCTGATACAGTCACATAAAACCATTATCATAAAAAAAAAGTCTCTTTAGTAAATGCTGCAAAAACCTCTTATGTTTAGCAACAAGAATAATATTATCTGATATTTAAATTACTTCTCTCAAAGATCTCTGTTTCAAAACAATTTATATTTAACCAAGAGTATCTTGGGACAGTAACAGATTCTATTTAGACTCTAAAAAATATAACAATCTAGGAAAACCTGTTTTCCCTCTTTTGGGTAGGAGGGCTTGGACCCTGGAATTAAGCAAACTTACACCTGAAAGCTGATACCCCATCACTTCACCCGTGACTTTAGGTGAGCGACTTCTCGCTAAGCTCGTGTTTCTGGCTACTAAAGGCGGCTACTAAAGGTGGCTGCTAAAGGTGGCTGCTAAGGGCGGCTGCTAAGGGCGGCTACTAGAACAGCGCGCCCCTCCCAAGGGGCCAGGAGCCAGTGTCTTGACTCGCGCGAGTCATTCAGTGCACGGCTGCAATAACCTGCTCTCTCACTCTGCTCTCCTGGCTCTCTTCTCTGAGCGCGGTCCTGTGACCAGCCCAGTATGGCAAAGTGATGGAGCACGTTTGCTGCAGCAGGAATTTCCCCTGTGGCATCGGACTCTGAAACCCAGGTATCGGGCGAGCTCCTGTCCAGAGGTGCTGGCTTTCGCTCCCTCATATGTAAAGTGTGCACCTGGCCCCCTGCAGGTCAGATGTTTTACACTCACTATTTCTAAGACACTGACCAGGATCTGTAAGACCCTGCAGAGTGTTACAACATATAGCAAAAATACCACTCTAAGTATGAACTTTAAGCATATACCTAGTGTATTATTTGATAACTCTGTAAGTTCATTGATTTGGGGGGAATGTCTTAAGAATTCACTTTTAATATAGAGGAAAATTTCTTTAGGAACCAGCAGAACCCTAGAAGGAGCATCTGGTTCACTCCTCCTGCCTCTGGTCAGGAACAGAATCAAATCACTCAGGGAGAATGGGGGCAGTGGGGTGGGGGGAGCAGAGATTGAATATAAACAAAAACATAACAAACCCAATATCCCAGGGCTTTGATGACATCAAGTTTACACATTGGACACGTGCGGTGATCCAAAAGCCATGGGTCAATGCATATTCTATGAAAAATATGCCTAAAAAAATTAAGTACGTGTTAATATCTTAAAATAATTGCTTATACCTTATAAAGGAAATAACACATCCTACCAACTCATCTTCTTGTTTATAAGTCAAATGTCGTCATATCAAAATTCGAGTGTATCCACTTACCCTGGGTGGTTACCTGTTCTACTTTCCAAATTAAATGGAATTTGGCATTTAGAGGGAAATTCCCCCTTCACTGCATGAAAACAGCATGGTTTATTTCTGTATCATGCTGGAATGTATTTTTATGTGCCTCTGTTAGCCTTTTGGGAATGAATGTGACCTAAGAAACTGAAGAGTAAACTAACAGTAACAAGCTAACAAAAACTGATAGTATCTTATATAAAGTGACTCCAGTAGAAATACAACAAAATATCAATTAAAATATTAAAGTCATCTTTGGGCTGCAAGTTAAACACTTATTTTTTGTCTTTATGTATTTTTGTAGCATCTACATTTTTCTAGAATGAACACATTAGTTTCAGAATTAAAAAAAGAAATCACATATGAATTTTCTTCTTGTACTGATGTTCTCATTGGCTCACTTCCCCTCCTGGGTGATGAATCTACAGTTTATCTGTGCTGCAGGTAAGTGGGTGTGGGGATCAGAACCACACTGACTAGGCTCAGACGCCAGCTGTGTGATCAGATGCTATGACTGAGCAGATCCTGAGGTCCCTCTGCACCTACCCCAAAAGCTGTTCTGAGGAGCAAACGTGCCACGTGACTACTAGGGTAGTGGGCACTATAAATCCTCAGCAATTTTTCATTATTATTACTGTCATCATTGTCTAAAGACCTTTTCTACAAAGGGAAACCTATCACGGCAGTTAAAAACAGCAGCAGGTAAGGACGTAAGGTGGTCCAACCCAGCTTGTCTTGTGACCTGCCCATCCTTAAACTGAGACTGACCCACAGGAATAGTTTTGAGGAAAATAAAACAAATATGTTGGCTCCATCGGGAAATTAGTTGAAATAAATCACAGGAGAAAACTGGGGTGGGGTGGGGGCAGGAAATGAAAACCCCACTAAGGAGACCAGGATACATGCACACTGAGGATACACTCAGCTGTTTATGATATGAGTGCAAGTCCCAGCTCGGCCATCAGGAGCATCTCCATTTCCTGCAAAAGGAAATCTGGCTGCTCGCTGTGTGGCATTCAAGGTAGAAAGGCTTGCCCTCAACCAGCCTAGAGTAATAATTCTTTTCTATTTTAATAATGTTCTACAGGACACCGTCAACTGACATGGACCCCAATTCATTAAGGACCCGGCACACCAACCCGCATGAACTCCTGTAGATTTAAGTTCACATCTTAAAGCAGGGAAATTAATTTTGCTATTCTGCTCCGCACTGCTTCCTGTCCTCTACAGAACTCCTGAGAACTTTATCTCCTATAAAGTACTGGTATATACGCTGAACACTCGCAAACATAAAGTGAGGCACAACTGCACAATAACTTGGGACCTGCTTCTAATCGGTGCAAAGCAGAACTTAAAATGACCAGCTTTAAAACATAGTCTCTGTACACCTTTCTGCTGACAAAGCAATTTTTAAAGAAAAGTTATCAAAGCACCTCATGATTAAAAAGGAAACATAATTTCTTATTGCTTAAAAAAATAAATAGTTAAATAAAGGAGAAATATTTATTTCACACAACCCCAGAAAGAATCCAAACTCAGGGTGCAAATAACAGCAGAGCCTAATCTAAGATAAAAGGCATCTCCATAGAAAAATAACAGATAAAAATACATAACCAGGAAATGTCTTTAAGGATAACATTTCTAATAAATGTCTGGGAAAATGTTCACTAGTTTAAAACATAAGAATTAAAATATTTAAAAGCTAAAAAAAAACCAATGATAATAGCAGCAGAGCCTGAGCCAGGTCTGTTGACTGTCCCTGGCCCTCTCACCCAGGGCCTTCACCTGGCCAGCTTCAGGTTCCTTTCTCCCAATATGGCAGACTTTCTCCATTGATAAATGTACAGTATAGACCCCCAGGAACCTACTGAAGCCTCCTCGCCTATAAGATAAAAAGCCAATCTGTAACAAAATGAGACAGTGGGTCTTAATGGTCACCTAAAGTCTTCAAGCAAAACAGTCTTAAAGTAAAACAGTACAAGAGGACCTTGAAGACTTTGAGCTTCTTTTCTAAGAGGTGAGATGATTGCAAGATATCACCTGATAGTAAGATCTTCATATCCTGAAAGACATGTTCCCTATTTGGTCAGAAACCTGAAACTTGTTAATTTTAACATCTCAGGAAGTAAGAGAACGTACTTGCATGGCAGAATTCTGATAACGTCCCTTCCTTTAAAATTTTCAATACACACTGCACAACTTTCAGCATCGACATCAATCCCCTGTGAAAAAGAAGAGCAAAGAATTTGCTGTATCCTTAGCAAATAGTATGTGCTTCCCTGGTGGCGCAAACTGTAAAGAATCCCCCTGCCAATGCAGGAGATTTGGGTTCAACCCCTGGGTCAGGAAGATCCCCTGTAGGAGGAAATGGCAATCCACTCTAGTATTCTTTCCTGGGAAGTCCCATGGAGAGAGGAGCATGGCGGACTACAGTCCATGGTGTTGCAGGGCTGGGCATGACTGAGCGACTAACACTAGTAAATAATATACTCTTGGTAAAACTCACTACAACAAAAACTAAACAAAAAAGAAACTCACTACAACTCAACTAAAACAATGATGAATTCTAGTCTGCATTGGTACATCCTGAAATTAAATACAGATAGTTTCCACTTGGTATTTATTTTTACCACTATCAAAAGATTTTATTTTTAAAAGAATTTGTCTGAACAGGAAAAAATTTCACTGTCTACCTAATCAGACACGAATGTTTAAATAAGAGGCTGTTCATTTTTTTAAGTGACCATATTTTTAAGGGCTGTAGAAATGCAAATGCCTGTTTTATTATAAAAAAATTTTCAAATATAAAACTTAAAAGAGAATGAATATTTAATGAGATATATGTTTTCTGGAATCATTGGAAATATACAAAAGCAGTTTCATTAGAATATGCTAAAGAACAAAGTTATAACTTGCAGATGAGAAAATGCAAAGTTATAACTCATAGATGAGAAAATACAAATGAGATACTTTCGGACTAAGTATCTGAAAATATTCACCTCACTAGTGATAAAAGAACCACAAATTAAAATAAGCTACTTTTTTAAAGTCACTACGTCATGTCCAACTTTGCAACCCCATGGACAGTAGCCCACCAGGCTCCTCTGTCCATGGGATCTCCCAGACAAGAATACTGGAGTGGGCTGCCACTTCCTTCTCTAGGGCATCTTCCCTACCCAGGGATCGAACTCACGTCTCCTGCACTGGCAGGTGGATTCTTTACCACTGGGAAGCTTGAGTTACTTTTTCATACATCAAGTTAACAAAGGTAAAAAGAAACAAAAATTTCTGGGGAAGCAGTCTTGTGACACAATTTCAGCTTCTGAGAGCCTGTGGGTCATGACCTTTCTTGGGGTGTCAGCTCATCCCACTTTCCTGTGTACCACCTGGATCTGTCCACCTGGCTTCAGCCCATCAACCAAAATAATAAGCATGGCCGACCTGGTCACCTGACCCAAATTTGGCCAATGAGCTTGTCTCCTTCAGGACTCTGGGATAGGGACTCAGTTATCAGTGTCTATAGCTTTAGCAAGTTAATTTTATGGAACTCAGCTTCACAGTCATCATGTAATTATTTAAAAGTACCTTTAAGCACATGGGTCCTTTGTTAACAAGCAAGCAGTAAAAACTGATTTTATATGTGGATATTGCTATCAAAGATTGCACTAAAATTAACTTTGTCACTGAACTTAAAATTAGATGTTGCAACTAGACATTATCACCTTTTTTCACATGCCAAGAAAGAATGATGAAATCATTTTTACTTCCCTAATGGTCTGCAAGCTTATACAGTACTGTGATTGAGTCCATAAGAAAAACTAGGAAACAACCAGTCTCCGGAACTCGACAAGATGTAGATTTAAGAAAAAACACAGTCTTTATTTGCACAAATTAAACATGCAAGACTGCCAGAAAATCCACCTATATACCTCATGGATCATTTATGGAGACTTTTTTTAACCATTATTTCTGACAATAGTCTGTAGAAGCATATTTTCAAAATTGTTCTGTACAGGAAGAGGGTAATATCACTTGACTTATGTTCCCAAAGACGTCGTGCAGTAAATTACACATATTAATCTATGTCTTCTCATACTTAAGGACAGATTTCCTGCCAGAGAGCAGAAGATACATTTCAAGAGGAACATAAAACTGTGCTTATCATGGAACTGCTAGCCGAATGCACAGCCTGTCTCAAGATACTTGCTGGGGACTCTCTCCCCCAGGGGGCTCTTCCCTGACGGCTCAGCTGGTAAAGAATCCGCCTGCCAATGCAGGAGACTTAGGTTAGATCCCTGAGTAGGGAAGATCCCCTGGAAAAGGAAATGGCAGTGCACTCCAGTATTCTTGCCTAGGAAATTCCGTGGATAGAGATGCTTGGCGGGCTATAGTCCACAGGGTTGCATAGAGCTGGACATGACTGAGCATGCATGCATGCACCTCACACACGTATGCATGCACGCACACACACATACACACACACACTCTCTCTCCGAGCCTCTGCCAGAGACCCTCGTAATTTGTAAATCATATGTTAATCTTTCCATGAGTTGGGGTTTTTTTTTTTCACCTTTCCTTTTAAATACAGCCACATGGAAAGAAACCTGGACTCTGCACCAAGTCTGCAAATTCACTGTTACTACAATGTAAAGCATCTGGGAAAGAATGCAGCCAACAATATAATTCCTGGCGTATTCTAATGGTAAATATTCCATAAGAACCATCAATATCTGATCCCAAAGCTTTAAAATCAAAGGTCTATAAATGTAATGAGTGTTATCCTGAAGCTTTAATCCTTTAAGTAGGTCATAAGAGGAGATGTGAACCCAAGGGCACTTGGGGATTGGAGGCTGCAGTGTTGGCGTGGGCCAGGTCTCAACAACTCATGGAAGAAAAAAAGAAAACCAAAATGATGGAACCCACCCATAGCTATGCCACCTCAATGTTTCACAGCACTGAAAACGGACAATTAAAAGAGTAACTATTCTTGCATTAGCAACTGTTTTCCTTGTAAGGAACCTATCCTCTAAGAACATGAGGTTCTGAGACAGGATTTATTGCAAAAATGCTTCTGAACTCTGCTGAGTTTGGCCTTTAAGAGACTTCCCTAGTGGTCCAGTGATTAGGACTCAACATCTTTTCTCCTCTTCTCCATAAATCCCAGTCTTTTCTCCCTGTAATTAAGGGAGTCAGAGAGAACGGACAGAGTATAAGATTTAACAGAGGTGGACTGAAGCCTCAGTGTCTCTGGTAGAGAGACTGGAGCTTCAGTGCACCATCCAGTCTGGCAGCAAGTAACCAGTATGGCTACCTGAGCATCTGACATGCGGCCAGGGTGACTGAGGAGCTGAGTTTTCAGTTTAATTCAGTTCATTTAAATTCAGACAGGTGTATGTGGCTAGGGATACGTTCCTGGGCAGCAAGGTACAGAAGGCTCTTCACATACACTGGAGTGTTTCAGTCAACTCTTCTTTAAAATGAACACATATGTCAAAATTAACAAACTAGCCAAAACTCCATGATCAACACTGTTAGATGAGACATACAAATGGATTGGTATTTTATATATATACATGTAATTTTTAAGATTTTTTTAAAAATGTAGACCATTTTTAAAGTCTTTATTGGATTTGTTACAATTTGCTTTGTTATATGCTTTGGTTTTCTGGCTGAGAAGTATGTGAGATGTTAGCTACCTGATCAAGGGGATCTAACCCACGCCCTCTGCATTGGAAGGCAAAGTCTTAGGGATGTCCCCAGATTTATATTATAAACAAACAAAAAACAACCATGAAAATATTACCTTTTCTCCATGCTTTACAGTATGAAGAGGAAGCTGCCCAATAACTTTCTTTGTTTCTTTTCTATGGCTCTTAGGGAAGAAAAATATTATAATTATTATTGAAATGTTTAAGTTGCTATTTTAAAAATTCATATAGTGTAAGCAAGCTTTGGAAAAAAAAGTCATAAAAAGCAAAAATTTGGTGACTACAATGAAATAACTTAAAAAACAACAACAACAAAAAACTACCTTTTAAGCCCTAAGGTACAGAACAGTCATGTGTAACTTAAGAGCTGTTTGATCAAGAATACTTATATTCAATTCCATGCCTGAAGAAGGAACCAATCTTATGTTTGATTATTGGTAAGAATGTAGTCAGCTGAGGACGGGGCTCCATACACTCATCTGTGATTGCCCCTAAAAGGACAGAGGCTTCCTGGTCAGAGGCAGAAGGTGACCCGGCAATGACCATCTGCTGCCTCAGCGGCCAGGAAGTGTAGTTCTCAAGACAACAGGTAACTGTGGGACCCACATGCTCTGCTGCTGCTGAGCCAGCACCCCCACAGACAAATGGCTCTGAATGCAGCTCCACTGTGGAGACAGGCAGGCCCAGTTCTCTTCCGAAACACACTCATGTTCCCCCACCCCCCTCGACTTCATGCCTTTTGGTCATCCCTTTATGTCTGGAAAGGAGAGAGGATCTTTGCAGGAGTGAGAGATGACCTGATTTCCTACAGCACATAAAGTTGAATATATTCTAATTTAAAACTTATTTTAAAAAAAACTCCCACATATCAACACTTAAATATTATAATTGATAATGAAATTAAGAATATTATCTAATAGTTTCAAAAAATATACACAGGAAATATTTACAAACGATCTTTTAAAAAGCAAAGTTAAAGAAAGACAGTTACCTGACTTCTGAACTGTGAGCCGGTGTATAGGAAGCGCTGTATGTAGTAAAATATTAGCCAGGCCAATGAGATAATCATCATGGTGATGAAGGCAATGGCTACAAAGACCACGGACTGACCGCTGATGTACTCCTGGACGTGCCGGGTGCCCACCCCGATGGTGACAGTGACTGGAATGTCCTTCTGCACAAGTTCCACAATTTCTCTTCCTTTTGGGTAGCTAACCATAATGACCACTATGTTTCCTGTTCCTTAGTAAAGAACAAAGCAATCAACACGAGAACACAAAATAAGATATGACCGAAAACTGTGATAAAACGGGACATAAGCCCAAGTTACCAACATGGGTGACCAAGGAGAACACAGACTAGTTACACAAGGAACAGAATAAACAGGGGCTTCTCTGGTGCCTCAGTGGTAAAGAATCTGCCTGACAATGCAAGACACTCAAGTTCCATCCCTTACCCAGGAAGATCCCACATGCCAGAGAAACTTAGCTGGATTTTTCCACAGCTAAACAAGGCTCACCCGTGACCTGAACACTAGACGCCTAGCACTTAGTAAACAGCTTTGAAAAAGTGTCCAGACAAAAACTATCACACAATTATACACAGCAGCTCTACTTTTAACAGCTAAAAACAAAACAAAACAAAACAAAAAGAATAAATCACTGAGAAATACCCCCTTGAAAGCAACAGCCCCCTCACCTCCCCCATTCAGTTTCATTAGAGAATTCTACTCTCAAATCTTTAAAGAGCAACACATAAAGTGTTCCACAGCAGATTTTTAAAAAAAGAAGTCTTAAAATTATTTCTAGCATAATTAAACCAAACATGGTAAAAAAAAAAGAACAACACACACACAAATACCAATTTCACTTGTAAATATTAATACAAACACCCGAGTGTGCCCATTAACTCAGGGAAGCAATCTGAGAATTCCTACTCTGTTCGGTATTATTTCATGTTGTTCTGAATGCATGAGCAGACAGGACAAAAAAGTAAGAGAAATAAAAAAGAAGGGATATAAATGCCAATTTTACATGAATTTATCTATAAATTGGGCTTCTCTGGTGGCTCAGATGGTAAAAAAAAATCTGCCTGCAATTTGGGAGACCCAGGTTTGATCCCTGGGTCGGGAATATCCCTGGAGAAGGAATGGCAACCCATTCTAGTATTCTTGCCTGGGAAACCCCAGGGACAGGGGAGCCTAGCGGGTTATAGCTGATGAGGGTCACAAAGAGTTGGATATGACTGAGCGACTAACACTTTCACTTTCCATCTGTAAATTAATCTTTAGAATTATCAATGGGATTTTAAAAACCCTAAGAATTCTGCTTCTAATGTTCACTTAGGGGAAAAATAATCAAGATTAGGAAAACTTTGTAAGCAATAAAACTTGAACTAGCCTTTATAGTCAAAATAATTAAAAGAGTGTGGTAGTAGCATATGACAGCCCAGAAATTAGACCCCAAAACATAAAAGAATTCGGTAAATGATAAAAGTGGATTTCAAATCAATGGGGTAAAATGGACTATGTAAAAAAAAAAAAATGAAAAAAAAAAGTATGGGAGCGACTGAGTACCATCTAAGGATAAAAAAGATGAATCCTTTCTTCACAACTTAAAGCCAAAATTAAATTCTAAAAAAATCCAAGATGTAAATATATAAAAAAGAAAAAACAGAGAAGAGCCAGAAGAAACATGGACATTAAAAAATAAATAATATTGAAGAAAAACCTTTCCAAGTGTGAAAAATAACCTCAAAACTTCTTTTTAAAAAAAGATTTGAGCAACTAACCAATTATATAGCTTGCAGAAAACACAAATGGGTTTTGTCTTTTAAAAGGCAACTTTAGTGAGATATAATTCACATGCTAGAAAATTCACTCTCTTAAATAAGTGTACAATTCAACATTTTTGTTGTTCAGTTGCTAAGTCATGTCTGACTCTGCAACCCCACGGACTGCAGCACGCCAGGCCTCCCTGTCCAACACCATCTCCCAGAATTTGCTCAAACTCATGTCCATTGAGTCAGTGATGCCATCCAACCAACTAATCCTCTGTCTCGCACCCTTCTCTTCTTGCCTTCAATCATTCCCAGCATTATGGTCTTTTCCAATGAGTTGGCTTTTCGCATCAGATGGCTAAAGTTTTGCAGCTCTAGTATCAGTCCTCCCAATGAATATTCTGGGTTGATTTCTTTTAGGATTGACTGATTTGACCTCTTTGCAGTCCAAAGGACTCTTAAGGGTCTTTTCCAGCACAATTAGAAAGCATCAATTCTTTGGCGCTCAGGGTTCTTTACAGTCCAACTCTCACATCATATATGACTACTGAAAAAACCACAGCTTTGCCTAGACGAACCTTTGCCAGCAAAGTGATGTCTCTGCTTTTTAATACTCTGTATAGGTTTGTCATAGCTTTCCTTCCAAGGAGCAAATGTCTTTTAATTTCATGGCTGTAGCTCCCATCTGCAGTGATTTGGGAGCCCAAGAAAAGAAAATCTGCCACTGTTTCAACTTTATGCCCTTCTATTTGCCATGAAATGATGGGACCAGATGCCATGATATTAGTTTTTGGAATGTGAGTTTTAAGCCAGTTTTTCTCTCTCCTTTTTGACCTTTATCAAGAGGCTCTTTAGTTCCTCTTCTCTTTCTGCCATTAGAGTACCATCTGCATACCTGAGGTTATTGATATTTCTTCCGGCAATCCTGAATCCAGCTTGTGATTCATCTGGCCTGACATTTTGCATGATGTACTCTGCATACAAGTTAAATAAGCAGAGTGACAATATACAGCCTTGACATCCTCTTTTTCCAGTCCATTCTTCCTTGTCTGGTTCTAACTGTTGCTCCTTGACCTGCATACAGGTTTCTCAGGAGACAGGTATGGTGGTCTGGTACTCCCATCTCTTTCAGAATTTTCCAGTTTGTTGTGATCCACACAGTCAAAGGCTTTCGTGTGGTCCATGAAGCAGAAGCAGATGTTTTCCTGGAATTCCCAATCCCCCTGCATTGGAAGGTGAACTCTTAACCACTAGATCACCAGGGAAGTCCCTTTTCTAAGTTTCTGCTATCAAAATCTAAATGTCAATCAACAAGAAAACCATTATATAAATTATACTATGTGTACAGACTGAGGCAGCAGCTCTATTACTATTGATGGCAGTCAAGACAGAGGAGGAAAAAAAAATATCATGTAAAGAAACCTGCGTAGACAAGAGGTCTACGTGGTCATATCAGTACAGACACCCCTGCAGATCACACAAACACAGAGCAGCACCTGCTGTGGCGGAGGTGGTGAGGGGAGAAAGCTGGACACAGTAAAAATTCTCTAACCAGTGTACATATTATCCATTCAAAAACTAACCGAAAAAATACATTTAAAGATTGTTCTCCGGCATTACACTGAAACCACATTCTAACACTATTTTATTGTGGGGAGAAAATTTAATCCGTAGCAAATCCGCTGTGGCCCTCGACCGTGGGGATTTAGTTACTGAAACCCCAGAAGAGCAGCCTTCTGAGGTGGCTCCTGTCTAGAAGCCGATGCTGTGACCCGGCCCTGAAAGTGTCACTTGGCAAGTGCCACGGCTGCCCGAGTGCTCGCACAATCCTCTACGTCATCCCTGGGGGATGACGAGGCTCAATAAGGAGCAAGGCATCTCCCGCCTTCAGGGAAATAAACAGCTAGTAGCTGAGAAAGACGAACACAGAAACAAGTAGGAGAACTGTACCATGTACGATTACGGGGTGCCTTGTAAGCTGCAGACCCTTTTCACAAACTAAAAAAGTTTCCTTTAACGGAAAATGTCAAGCACACACTAAAGCAGGAAGGACAGTATAGTGAACCCCATGGACCCGTCTCCATGTTTATACACAAAACAAAAACGTTTCTATGCTATGGTTACAGGTACAATTTCTATACTCATAGAACAATCTTTGGTTGCTAATGCAGAAACCAACTCTCAAGCATTTTCACGTCTGTATCATACTTCACTTGAGGCAGAAAGAGGTGAGTGATCATTTTACAGACCAGGGCTGAGACATCTTAAAGAGAATTGCTCAATGTGACGCAGCACCTGGAAAAGCCAGTTCCAGGGCCTGAAGACCCAGTTCCTGAGTGCACCTCTGCCTTTCCCCCTTGTGAGCGGGGGGTGGGGGAGGGAGTGGGGAAACACAGGCTTCAGGACCACCAGGCTGGGCTCCAACCTTCCCCTGACAATTCATGTCTGGGTCCTCTGAGAGTATTTCTTCAGCTGTACAATGGAAATGACAATTTTTCTATTTTGGACTGTTGATTATTGAATGATAATGTGGGATAAGGAAAAGCTGCAGAAATGAGGTGATCATATTTACTGGGATGGGAAGGAACTTTCCCCTGGGCAGGGAGTGCATCTTGATGAACAGGAAGAGTTTATCAGGCAAAAAGAAGGGAGGTTTTCTAGGCAGTGTACCATCATAAAAGCATATTTGCATTGGTGACTGGTCTGGCTTGCTTAGTGACTCAATATACATAAACGTATCCTGTTTATCTCATTACCGCCAGTGCCCCATGCAGCTTGGCACATAGTAAGTGTTCAATGAATATTTGTTACCTAAATGAGTGAGGGATGGCGGATGAGCTGAGAACACCTGAAACTTCAAGGGAGGGGCTGCAGAAACGCTCTGGCTATCAGAAGCACACCTGAACATCTCCAGCACTAATCTCAAGTTTTTCCCCTAAAAAATGCTTAGTTCACTAAGTTGTAAGAAATCATTAAAAAGTAATAACACTGTGCCTGGGCTGAGGGCTAAAATTTGCTACACTCTTAAGTACAGAGGGTGCCTTGGACAGCAAGGAGATCAAACCAATCAAACCTAAAGGAAATCAACCCTGAATATTCATTGGAGGGACTGATGCTGAAGCTGAAGCTCCAATACTTTGGCCACCTGATGCAAAGAGCCGGCTCACTGGAAAAAGACCCTGATGCTGGGAAAGACTGAGGGCAGGAGCACAAGGGGGTGATTGAGAATGAGATGGTTGGATGGCATCACCGACTCAACGGACATGAATTTGCGAAAACTCTGGGAGACAGTGGAGGAAAAAGAAGCTTGGCATGTTGCAGTCCATAGGGTGGCAAAGAGTCGGACATGATTTAGCCACTGAAGCAGCAAGACTGCCTCTGTGAACTACTCTATTTTAAAAATATTTACTTAACATTTATTTATTTGGCTGCACCGAGTCTTCGCTGCAGCATGTGGGATCTAG